ACGGCAAAATTGACGTACGAGAGATATTAATGAGTTGACCATATTAATTAGATTGATTATTTACGTTTACAGTATTCAGTATTATAACTTTAAAATGTCATAATTATTTGCATAAATATTCAATAACGAATAATTTATTTCCGTAATTAATACATTACTTGAGCTTCAGTAAGAATTGTTTCCTGAGATGTGTTTTACTTATTAATTATTTCGATTGAATTCAAAATATTAACAGTAACTTCTAATTATAAAAATGTAGTCCAAATTTTTAAAAAAATATACAGGATCCTCATTTCTTGTGAGTTTGAAGAGACCCCGTATATCAGCTTGTAGGCCCTACATCAAAATGCAAGCATGCATCAAGTATCGTCAGCCTCGCCCAGATCCTATGCGAATAGTTGGCTGTGGGTCCGCGGCACGTGTCCGCCAGCACATTGTACCGCGGAGGCTCCCGTTTCGATCCGCCTCTTTTGGCCGGAGGCGGTGCGGCGGTGGGGGCTGTTGGCGGGTGCCCAGGGACCGGTCACGCGGCGGAGGCGGACGATGTGGAGGAGGAGATGGTGATAGTGGTGGGTATGGCCGCGGCCGGATGGAGGCCGCGGGATGGTGGTGATGAGCGCAGTGTCGATGGTGATGGTGGAAGAGATGGAGCGTTGGTGGAGGTGGCATTGGTGGTGGTGGTCTTCTCTAGCTCTTTAAACATGTAATAATATTTTTCTTTCTATATCGAAGTTTCTGGTGGGGCGCCATGAACTCTAGTTTTTCATTATCAACTCGTGCCGTACAGTTAAGTATTTTTTCGATGTTAGAAAGAGAAAGTTTTAGAATATTCGAGTTTGAAAATACGTATTATAAGAAATGCCAACTTGGAATTTCCATTCGATATTACAATTTGTACGGAAGGCGTTATTACGAGCTATTCACAAAAAAATAGTAGATTCACTAATCAAATGTTTACTTAAGCAAAGACATTCAAAAAATTCCCGAAAACAGCATCAAGCCCAAGGAGGAAATTTCATCTCATTCCCCTCCCCTACCTGTCCGCGCCTCCTTCGCCAGTTCCGCCGAAACGCGCCACCGCTGTTTCACACGTTGCACACGCGACCTGATGCGTCACCCCCGCCGCCGCCAGCCTCTCCGCCCCACCAGCACCACGCCGAAGAGATCGCGCGTGCCTGTTGGGAGGCACGCGGCCGGCACCGCGCCGCGCCGCACTGCCTCGCCCGCCCTGCTCGTACTCCCCCGCCTGCTCGCTCCCGCCCCGCCCCGCCCGCCTCGCTGCGCCCCGCCAGCCCGCCCCAGCCCGCCCGCCCCGCCCGCTCCGCTCGGCCGCGCGTAACTGCGTCGTTTTCGATCCCGCTACCGCATCCCGTCCACCGTCATTGCCGCCACGCGCTATCAGCCTCCATTACCACCACTACCTTCCCCGCCATTGTCATCCCACCGGCGCACAATCGCAACAACGCACCACATAGCACACCACAGTACTGTACCATCACCATGCCATCACGACGCCGCCACATTTTCGCTGCCGCCCGATCACCACGCACACAGCCACACCACCGCCACGTCCTCACCACGCGCACTGCCACCACACGAGCGAGCCATCGCCACCATTCTGTCACGCCACCG